AGAGGCAGGAAGTGGGAGGTGGTGATAAGGGGGGAGAAGCACCAAAAGGCACAAACTTCCAGGTACAAGATAAAAAAGTCCTGGGGATGTAACATACAGCATGGTGACGGTAGTTAACAATACTGTATCGTAAATTTGAAAGTGCCTAAGAAAGTTGATCTTAAAAGTTCTCATCATGATGGGGCGCCTGGGTGGCGCAGTCGGTTAAGCGTCCGACTTCAGCCAGGTCACGATCTCGCGGTCCGTGAGTTCGAGCCCCGCGTCAGGCTCTGGGCTGATGGCTCGGAGCCTGGAGCCCGCTTCGGATTCTGTGTCTCCCTCTCTCTCTGCCCCTCCCCCGTTCATGCTCTGTCTCTCTCTGTCCCAAAAATAAATAAAAAACGTTGAAAAAAAAATTAAAAAAAAAAATAAAAAATAAAAGTTCTCATCATGAGAAAAAAAAATTTTGTAACTATGTGAGCTGGTGGATGTTAACTAAACTGATTATTTAGTTTCGTTTATTATTTAGTGATTATTTGCAATATGTACCTGTCTCAAAGCCTGTACCCCTAAAACGAATACAGTCTTATATGTCAATTACACCTCAATTAAAAATAAATAAATAAGGGGCGCCTGAGAGGCTCAGTTGGTTAAGTGACCGACTTCGGCTCAGGTCATGATCTCATGGTTCATGAGTTCAAGCCCCGCATCAGGCTCCGTGCTGACAGCTCAGAGCCTGGAGCCCGCTTCAGAGTCTGCGTTTCCCTCTGTCTGCCCCTCCCCCTCTTGCATTCTGTCTCTCGTTCTGTCTCAAAAATAAATAAACGTTTAAAAAAAATTATAAATAAATAAATAAATAAATAAATAAATAAATAAAAAAAATAAAATAAAATGCGGTTTCTTAGTTACTGGCCACACTGCAAGTTCTCAACAGCCACCTGTGGCTTGGGGGTTACTGAACCGGCCGGGGCAGACACAGAGTGTTGATATCATTGTAGAAAGTTCTCTGGGGCAGCAGGGGCTTAGACGGCCATAGCATATCACAGAGTCACACCACTGGGGAACTCTGACATCCATTCATTCATAAACTATCCAAGGAGCAGCTTTTCTGTGTATGAAATACACCCCTGGGGGTCCGTCCTGCCTCACTCGCTGTTGTGACCAAATGGAAGTGGCATCGGCACCGGTTATGCTGTGGGCGAAGATGGTGACAACGTGCCTGTCGTTCCTGAAGGGTGCCACCAGATAGCAGATAACTAACAGGCTTGTTACAAAGGGAAACACAGACCCTGGGGAGCGGCCGAAAGCCCACTTTTTGGATGGGTTACTACACACGAGAGTAAGGGAGACTTCTGGTTCCTTCCGCCTCTCTTCTGCAGGGGTGGGGGCGGTGCTGAGAAAAAAAAACAGAAAAACCAACACCTCTCACGCTCCCCTCTCCACCGTGTCCCCTGCAAGCCACTAGCTGGGCCAAGTCGTGGAATCTGACAAGTATCAAAAAACGTGACAGACGTATTATCACATCCTCCTCCTGAGCCCGAGGCCGACATCACTGATCAATCACACACCCTCTTCTTTTTGAATCAGAAGGAAGGTTCCAGATCCTTCCCAAGACAGCACTCCAGGCAGCCATTGCCAAGCAGAGCCGGTAAAAAAGACACAGTCTATCTGCCCCCTAGGAGCTCGCTACTCTAAGCCCCAGCTTCTTCACCTCCAAGGCTGACACCACCTTGTAGGATTAGTGGGGGTCAGTCAAGATGATTCATTCGCTCAGTTATTGGTGTTATTTGGGTGCCTCACGCCCACCTGATGGACGCGGCACTGGATAAACGGCAGCTGTGACAAGGACAGACATCTGTGTGCTGCCTTCTGTTTGCCTGTGTGGACGGATTCCAGCCCCTGTGTCTTCCCTTCCCCTGAAGTCCCTCCCCTCGGGGCCAGCCCACACCCACCACCTCACCTGATGAGGGGGAGAGGAGCCCAGAAAAGTTAGCCTGGGGATTTAACGGGCGGCATATTTTGCAATAAGAGAGGCTTCCCTTTTTCTAGCACCTTCTCGTCTTATGTTCTCAATACACCTTGGTTGGATTAGCTCCCCCCATTTAACTTTTCTTCCTTGGATTCCCGTACACAAAACACTGTATTAACAAGCCGTGTCTACCAGGCTGAGCTATATTTCCTATAAAGTCTGTTTATCTCCTCTAAAACACACAGTAATAGCATTCTCCGGAGAATATTAAATCAAACCAACCTGCCGCTGCATTTGTTTGCGCTTTCTGCCCCCGGTAAATTCTGGCAACAGACGGGTGTGCGTTACATAAGCAGCACCCCTGTCAGGGACTGCAGTCCTCCGCACTCCACTCTGCGTGTAGAGATACCTCCTCAGGACTCTAATCCCCGCAGCCGAGGCTCCCCAAAGCACCCGCAACGACACCCTGACGTCCTGCTCCTCTTTTTTATTCTTCGCACACAGGGAAGCCTGAGTGCAGGTTCAAGAAGAGAGGCGGGCCGCGGCCAAAAGGGATGAAGCTTATCTGCTTTGTAATCCAGCACATCAAATCCGCTTTTCTTGGCCTGAGACGTATAGTCAATGACAGGGCTGAGCCACAGGGCACGGGCTTGGGCAGTCAGCACTGTTCCATTACTCATTCCAGAAGATGCTGACGACCACCTGCCAGGAAGCGCCCAAGAGGAGAGAGCATGGCCCTACCTGCTGGTAGTGTCCACGGCTACACAGGGGTGGGGGTCCCGCTAGGGCCTGGAGGACAGCCCCTAAGCACACAGCTGGACGCCCGGGGGGGGGGGGGGGGCGGGGAGAATTAGCAGGACGAAGTCCCGGATGGGGGGGATGGGAAGGAGGGAGGAGGGACAGACTCCCCTGGGCTTGATCCTCAGCTTTAACCTTCCGTACGAGCCTGCTCAAACACCCGGAACTCTGATTCTCTGTGTCTCATCTGGATATCAAAAAGCGTAAGACAGCTGCTTGTGGGTTCTGGGGGATGAACTCATTCCTTCAGCTGGCAACCATGCATTTCTACTTCGCAGGGTCTTGACGTGGAGACAGCACAGCTCCTGCTCCCCAGGTGCCCATGGTGGTCTGGGGGAGGCAGGTGTCAATCCCAGTATGGGGATGATGGAACATATTCATGAGGGCCAGAAGTGGCATAAGGGCCAGGGGTCAGGGCCAGCTTCCTGGAGAAAATGATGTCTCGTTTTCCAGGAATCTACGGCAGAGGCGGGCACTTCGAGCTGAGACGGATGGGAGGGTCCAGGGCCTACAGGGTAACTGCCGTGTGGGGTGGTAGAGAGTCACAGCAGCTGACACTCCGGAGTGTGAAGCCAGCAAGGGGCAGGGGCTGATGGGAGACACGGGGCCTGGCGCACAGGGATTAGGAGGCCCTGAAGTCACACTAAGGGGTTTGACCTGGGTCCTCTGGGACAGGGGGAGCCTCTGAGGGTGTGAAGCAGCAAAGAATGATGATCAGACCTCCCAGGGGCTGCTGGAGACCGACTGGAGGCCTGGGCCTGGGGACAGCGAGAGCAGTTCAGAGGCTGCACCCTTCCACACCTCAGTGCCTTTGCACATGCGGGGCTCCCCACCTGGGACCCGTTTTCTTCTTTTCTACCTTGGCTCTGTGCTATTGTCTCTTTCCGCCACAGCTCAGTTGTGGGCTCCAAGCCCCTTCCCTGAGCTCTCCCAGCCTGATGCAGGCTCCCTCCACGTTCCAGGGGCTACAGTCTAGACAGGCCAACTCCAGCCCAACGGTGAGTTTGCTTTGGACCGTGCAGTGGTTTCAAAGGAATTTCAATTAGCTGTTGACATTTACAGACCAGAAAGGCTCCTATCAGATTCCAAATTCCCAACTCCCTGGGAATGTTCAGATGACCTAGCAGCACTGGCTGGCATTCCTATATAGCAGCCATTAACTGAAGCTGAAAAGTGGCCTTCCCTTTACATGTGCTTACCAGTTCGCCACACTCCCCACCATGCCCTGCCGTCTCTTTTCACGATATTGAAGCTGAGGACCAGTTTCCATCATTCATCTCCCTTGCATTATTGCTTCCCTGAGAACAAGTTGGAAGGGAGAGCAGAGCAATTCTTGTCCCCATGTCTGTCATAAGAGGGGAAACAAGTCAGGCTGAGGGGGTCCTGTCCTTCCTCACGCACTGAGTTCCCTGCTGAGTTCCTGGGCTTTCTGTTTGAAACCCTGGGCACTTTGCAGTCACCTCTATCAAGGCCTTCAGCACACTGCGTCCTATTTTTACAATTACTTGTCTGCCAGCTTTTAGACCAGGAGTACCTCCTGGACAGGGACTGGGTCTCTGATACCAATGTCCTCCGAACTGATCAGGAAGGCCGATGGTACATATGCTCAACAATAAATGTCGAATGAAGAAATAAATACAAACGAGAGCATGAAAAAACAGCCCAGAGAAGAAAGAAAGCATAAGTGCCCAGGGGTGGGAGGGCAGGGATGCTGAAACCGGGGGGACAGAGGAGCACAGAGGTTAAGAGCCTCACTGTTCAGAGTGGGGTTCTCACCCCAGGGACACTGGCACAGGTGGATGCAAAATCTTGGGCTCTGCTCCAGACCCGCTGAATCGGAACCTGCGTTTTAGCAAGAGTCCCGGTAAGGTATCGCAGATTAAGGTCTGAGAAGCCCTGGCTAAGTGAACGGGCCCAGAGTCTGACTGCGTGGGTTCAAATTCTCACTGTGACGCTTCCTTGCTGTGTGACTTGGGGCATGTCACACAACCTCTCTGTGTGTCTGTTTCTTATCTATTAACATTGAGCCCCAGTTCCGGCAAAGGGCGGCCACACCTGCAAGCTGAGGCCCTGCTCCTGGTGGCCCCAAACATGCAGTGTGAAATGCACCACCAGGCATTCTGCAACAGGCAGGAAGGGCCGCAGTGGGGCCTCCGCGTACCCATTTTGCAACTTCAGCACTCAGGCTGTTGGACAGCGCCAAAGTGCTTCCGTCAGTCAAACGCCCAAGGAGTAGTCGGGGGCCCTTACTTACACCATCAGCTGTCCAGTAATTCCAAACCTTGATCTTGGCTAGATCAAAGTCGTGCAGGCGGCTCGTGTTGCGGATAACAAAAAAGAGCTGGAGCGGCGGGTGGAAGGGGCACGTCCACAAGGAGGGGTCTTTCTTGCTCTGAAACACCAGCAAGAGAGGGAAGTCGTTAGCCCATTTGCTGCCTCTCCCCAGTGTAAACAAGCTGAGGGCAGGAGGCTAGGCCTCCTCTCCGTAATCCGAGGTGGAGTCTTAGATCTCAGCCGCCCGGACTGCACTTTGTAGCAGGTACTGACTCATCCCTGGCACAGGCTGGCTCGAGGGCCTCTCTGCTCTGCCATTCGGACTGAATTGAAAATGCAGCGGGCTTTATTCTAATTGATCTAATCAGCTCTGGGGAGATGGCTGGGGATGGGGACTGAGAGGGAAAGGGAGGTTGGGAAAAGAGCCATCACTTGTGCTATTCATTAACCTGGCAAACAGAGCCTTTGGTTTTCTTTTGTAAAAACCCTGCAGAATTAAAAACATTTAAAAAATAGAAAAGGAAGAAAAGAAACCGGTGCAGGCACTGGGACGGGGCTGTGGCACCGAGCCTCAGGATTTGCTCTGTTCCCTGGCAGGGTTTCCAGGCCTCAGGACCCCAGAGTGTGGTTTCCGCCCACCGGTGAGGCTGCCAAAGCCGCTCTCAAGGCCAGAGGAGCAAGGAAGCCCTGCTGCCGTGTGCATTTTGCACCAACAACATTCCATGCCACAGGTGCTTTAGATGCAGGTGGAAAAAGCCAAATCTGGGGACTCTTCTCAGCCCCAGCTGCCTCCTGTTCTGTCTCTTTGGATACCTCTTCTACGTTCTGTCCTGAGAAAACTCACAGCTGCTCCCAAACAGCCCCCTGCAGGCTCGGCCTCAGTGCCTTTGCACAGGCTGGGCCTCTGTTTGCAATACTCTTCCAGCCCCTCCCTCCCAGGGAAATTCAGCCCAAATGTGCTGTCACGCCCACAGTCACCCCTTCCCTGTCACCATCACTCTCTCCTCCAGGCACCTAGGGTTCCTTGCAGTGCCTAAGGTTAGCATTTTACTCAGTGTCCCACAACCACCTGTTTTCCAGTCCAGGTCAGCCCTCCACACACTTGACTGTGAGCTCAAGGGAAGCGTCTGTGTAGAGTTTCCACACGGTTCCCTGGCACATGGTAGATGCCACAGAATCTTTGTCGAATGAATGAATGAATGAATGAATGAAATTTACCTCCTAATAGCTGTCTTTTCATTGCAACTAGAGAAGAGGCTATAAACTCATCTGGCCTGCCTAGCTATTTCGTTTGGCTCATGAAGTATTCAAAAACACTGTTGCCAACATTTAAAGATGGGGAGATTTCGCCTTTCCCTCCAGAGCTAGTGTGTGGACAGGCAAGACGCAGGGCAACACAGGGCCCCTAACAGCTGCTGGCTGGGGCCTAGGGCACAGCTCCCATGGCCGGGCCGGCTGGGGCTCTCGGGCACCCCAGTCCCCACAGCTCCCTACAGTTTTAGAGTTTTGTTTTGTTTTGTTTTCAATTTTGAGAGAGAGAGGGAAAGAGTGTGTGTGAGCTGGGGAGGGGCAGGGAGAGAGAGAGGTGGGCAGAGGATCCAAAGTGGGCTCTGTGCTGACAGTGGGGAGCCCGAGGCAGGGCTGGAACTCATGAACCGTGAGATCATGACCTGAGCCGAAGTCAGATGCTTAAGTGACCCACCCAGGCACCCCAGCTTACAGTTTTAGTCTCACACCTACTTCTCTTTCCAGGTTATGCCCCTGTCTGGCCCCTGCGGGCAACTGAGTCTAGGGTCCCCACCTAGTGGCTGACAGCTACAGTAAGTCCCATCTGCCAACATAACCACCACATCTCTGATACCAGCGAAGTTGTCCCTTTCACCTAAACGGAGCACCGCCGTGTATTTGAGAGGGTCTCAGCAGACTCCTGTCACCAGGACCAGGCCGGCTACTTGACACAGCCAGGGGAGGAGACTGGCCAACGCTGGGGTTTTGCTGCCCCCCAGGAAATGCGAGGCCCAGGCTCCAGCTGCGGGGGGGAGAACAAAGCTGGCTTGTTCCAATGACAATGGTGCCTTTCAGGAGGGAGGAGGCTGCTTTTGTTAAGGGGGGAGAGGGGTTCAAGGGGTTCTGACTTATTCCGGCCAAGTGTCTCAAGCTCTGCAAGAACTTTTAGTGCTCTGGGCAGCTGCAAGGGGCCAGGAGACAACATTTCGGCTTCCAACGGGTGCATCTCATTCGTTCCCCAAGTTGGGGCCTAAACTGGGTCGCTGTGGCTGCTTGACAAAGGAAGAGTCTGAAGGCTGACCCTTAGACACGGGCGAGGGGACTGCCATTGATTTCCCATCACATTTCTGTCAGCAGGAGGGATAACAGGAGGACTAAGTGGGAATCATGGTGTTCAAAGTCAAAGAACATTAACCTGCGGGTAACTCAGGGCCTCATTAGCAGACAGAGTCTCTGAGATGAAGGCTGATGGGAAGCCATTGAGGGCTGGCCGAGGCGCGCTGCGCGAACCCCCAGATGCCAGGCCAGCAGGCCGAGCGTCTGCTGCACCTGTCCATCGCAGGCAGTAACAGAGACGGCAGAACAAGAATCAGGGTTCCCTCTTGCTGCTGCTGTGACCTCACTGGGTTCTCTCAAAGCCCTGGGAGGGGACAAGTGCTGTAACCCTCCCGTCACAGCTCAGCAAGGGAGCAAAGGGTGTGGCTCGCCTCAGTGGTGGAGTAAGGGTGTACACCTATTTTAATCCATTAATTCATGCTGTCTTAGTTTGTGTTCTCTCAGAAGCAGACCCCCGAGTCAAGGATTTGAGTGTCAGGAGATTATTTGGACAGCAAAGGAGCATGGGGAAGAGGAGGGGAGGAAAGGCATTTCATAAAGAGTGTGTTACCAAGAGAGCCCGCTCCTGTGGCATCTGGAGCTCAGTGCCACCAGGGAATCTGGGAGCCAGAGCAGAACGTGCCCCGGAGCAACTCCACCCCCGGGACAAGGGAGCTGGGGTATTCATACCCCAATGCCCACCAGCGTAGGTTGAGGGCTGCTCCTGGGGGCTCCATTCCCCACCGGTTTGGGCCCGCTGCACAGCAGGCAGAGTGGGCCCCGGAGGCCAGAAAAGCAATCCTCCATCAGAGAATTATCAGTGGGAAGTACAGCCAGCACGCACAGACGTGGGAAGGGCCAGAGGGCCGGGGAGGCTCTCACAGCGTCTGTTACCCATTTGCTCAATACAAATACCCTCCTGTGGGGCAGGTGCCGAACTACAGTCAGGGGTGGGTGGCGGAGCCTGGCCCACCAGGTCCCAGCTCTGCACTGGTCGGGGAAGCAAACAAGTAATACTGCCAGGAAAACAAAAAAAAAAAAAAAAAAAAACAACCCCAACCAGGCATGGATAAATTCGACAAAGAAAATAAGAGTGAATTCTTAATGGCCAATGGAAGGGCATTTTTAGAATGGACGGTCAGGGGAGACAGGAGGTCCCTTTCTCATTCCTAATTAAGGTGCCTCCCTCTTCCAGAATTAACCTAATACAGATCTACCCCCTTCAGGGATATGCTGGACTGCCCTCAGAAGTAGCCCCAATTTAATAAATTATCATAATCAAAAGGAACAAGCTATGGACACACACAGTTTGGATGGATGTCAAAGGCATTATACTGAGTGGAAAAAGCCAGTCTCAAAAAGATTACATACAAGATGATTCCTTTTATATAGCACTCTTGAAGCGAAAACAGATCTGCGGTTGCCAACGTTAGGGATGGGTGTGTGGGGGGTTATGGCTGTAAAGGGTTGCGAGGGGGAATCCCTCTCTGGTGATGGAACTGTTGTATTTTGTGTTTGTGTATTTCGATGGGGTGGTGGTTACATGAATCTACACATGAGTGATAACATTGCATAGGACTCATACGCACATGCACACGAATGTGTGTACAAAGGTGTGCACCTGAAACTATGTCAGGAAATGTCAATTTCCTGGGTTTGATAATGTACTACAGTTATACAGGATGTTAGCACTGGGGGACGCTGGTGGGCAAGGGCACAAGGGACCTCTCCATACTTTTTTTAAAAAAATGGAGATATACTTCACATATATATAAAGTCACCACCTTCAAGTATGCAATTCAGCAGGTTTTGTTTTGTTTAGTATATTTCAAGGTTGTGTCACCATCACCACTATCTTTTTCCAGCATATTTCATCACCCTAAAAAAGAACTCCATACCCAATGTGTGGCCTGCCGGGTCTGGGTTCTTCCACATCCCATAATGTTTTCGAAGGTTCATCCTTGTTGCGGTAACAATCGGCGCTTTGTTCCTTTTTACAGCTGAGTAATATTCCATTGTATGGACGTACCACATTTTCTTTATCCATTCATCTGTGGATAAACATTTGAGTTGTTTCCACCTTGTGGCTATCATGAATGATACTGCCATGAACATTTGTGTGTAAGTTTTTGTGGGAACACATTTTCCGTTCCCTTGGGTCTGCACCTAGGAGTGGAACTGCTGGGTCATAGGCTAACTCCACACTTAACTTTTGGAGAAACGGCCAAACTATTTTTCACCATGGCCGCACCATTTTACTTTTGTATTCCTGCCAGCGAGGCATGGTTTTTCCACATGAATTGCCAATGCTTTATTATTTTCTCTTTTCTTTTCAAAAACTGTAACAACCTGGTGGGTGTGAAATGATACGTCTTTGGGGTTTTGATTTGCATTTCCCTAATGACTAATGATGTTGATAGCATCTTTCCTGTGCTTCTGGGCCGTGTATGTCTTCTTTGGAGGAAAGTCTATTCTGAGTGCTTTGGTCATATTTTCATGCGGTTGCTTGTCATTTTGTTGTTGAGTTTCAGATTTCTTTTCTTTATATATTCTGGATGATAGACCCTTGTCAGATATACGATTTGCAAATATTTTCTCCCATTTCCTAAGACGTCTTTTCAACTTTCTTGATGAATGTCCTTTGAAGCAAATGTGTTTTAAATTTTGATGAAGTCTGATTTATCTATTTTCTTCTTTTGTTGCTTGTGCTTTCCATGCCATATGTAAGACCTCAGTGAAAAGCTCAAGGGTAGGAAGATTATACGTGTGTTTCTTCTAAGAGTTTTACAGCCTGAA